TCTCTCCTCAGGAACAGAAACGCGATTATTGCATGCCAGAGCGACCCGTGCCAGGCATTAAAATTTACTCTTCCTTTTTTTCTGGGGGCATTGCATTAAATGTTGCTTTGTATGTTGCACTTTGTCTGGCGTTTTATGGGGGGGGGGGAGGAGAGAATCGTCTTAAAAGGTGGTGTTTTTGTTGTTGTTTTTTGTTGTTGTTGTTGATTGGTATCTTGTGATGTGGGGTGGTATTGTTGGGCGGGTTGGTATGATTGTGATTGTGGTTTTTATTGTTATTGTTGTTGTTGTTGTGTATTGTTTATTGTTATTGTTATTGTTATTGTTATTATTATTATTATTATATTATTATTATTATTATTATTATTAATTATTATTATTATTATTATTATTATATTATTATATTATATGATATTAATTATTATTATTATTATTATTGGATATTATTATATGATTATTATTGTTGTTGTTGTTATTGTTATTGTTGTTATTGTTATTATTATTATTATTATTATTATTATTATTGTTATTGTTATGTTATTGTATTGTTAATTGTTATGTTATTGTTATTTAATTGTTATATTATTATTATTATTATTATTATTATTATATTATTTATTATTATTATTATTATTATTATTATTATTATTTTATTATTATTTATTATTATTACTGTTGTTGGTTGTTTGTGATGTTGATGGCGATGGTGGTAGGAGTGACAGAGATGATGATGACAGTGGTGATGAAGCCGTGTTGATAATGAGTTACGTAAATGAAGTTGTTTTGATGTTGACGCTGTTTATGAACTGTATTCATGTTGACAAATGTGGAAAGGTATGAATGAGAACGAATATCTCTTGTTATTGCGAAGATATTCGTTCTCATCCATACCTTTCCGAAGAAGTTTATGTGAGTGATGAAGTTCTGTCGATGATGAAGCTGCAAATTATGAAGTTGTTTTAATGATAAACCTGTGTAAATGATGCTGAATGAACGATTATGTTGCCCTAATGATGGAGGTATGTTAATTATGAAGTTGTTTTATTTATTATTTGTTTTATTTATTATTTTTTATTTTTATTTGTTTTTATTTATTATTTTTATATATTTTATTTATTATTATTATTATTATTATTTGTTTTTTTGGAGATATGTTAATTATGAAGTTGCCTTAATGATAAGCCTGTGTAAATGATGCTGCGCAAATCAGCTGTGCAAATGATGAGGCAGCGGTAAGGATCGTGCCATCACTCATCGAGGGAAGGAGGGAATAGGGGGAGGGAAGGGAGGGAGAGGAAAGAAAGAGGGTTGGTGGCAGAAAGGATGGGAGGGAAGGGGGAAAGAGGGAGGAAGGGAGGGAAAGGAAGGGCAGGAAAGAGGGGAGGAGGGAGGGTTGCGTTTGGTAGAAAGGATGGGAGGGAAGGGGGAAAAGGGAGAGGGAAAGGAATGCAGAAGGGAGGGGGGAGAGGGGAGGGTTGATGGTTGGTTGTTGGAAAGGATGGGAGGGAATGGGGAAAGGATGAGGGAGGGAGGGAAGGGAGGAAGGAAGGCAGGAAGGAGATTGGGTTGTTGGTTGGTAGAAAGGATGGAGGGAAGGGAGGGAGGGAAAGGAAGGAGGGAAAGAGGGGAGGAAGGCAGGAAGGAGGGGAGAGAGGGTTGGTGGTTGGTTGATAGAAAGGATGGGAGGGAAGGGGGAGAAGAGGGAGGAAAGGATGGAGGAAGGGAGGGAAGGACTTAATCCTCGACCCGCAGATATCTAGGCAAATATCCCTACCGGTTGTACTTGCCACTGTTTATCGCGTTCCTTCTCGTTCTCGTTTGTTCTCTTCTCGCCTCCTGTTCTGGGTGTGTGCCCTTTAAAGGCGGTGGGAAGACGTGACAGCTGGGTCTGTTTTCGCCTCTCCTCTCTCTCCTTTCCTCTTTCTTTCCTGTCCTCTCCTCTCATTTTTCTCCTCCCCTCTCTCCTCTCTACTTTCCTCTCATTTTCTCTCCTCTCTTTTATTTTCTCTCATATCCTTTATTTTCTCTCTCCCCTCTCCTTTCTCCTCTCCTCTCCACTCATTCTCTCCTTCTCTTCCTCTCCTCTCCTCTCCTTCTTTTCCCTATTATGCTCTCTTTTCCTCTATTATGATCTCTTTTCCTTATTATGCTCTCTTTTTCTCTCCCTCTCCTCTGCTGCCCTCTCCCACCCTCCCTCCCTCCTTCCCTCCCTCCCTTCTTCCCTCCCTCCCTTCTTCCGGGTTCTGTTCAGGACGGTTATAGGGAAAGAATTGAGCAGGTGTCCGCAATGCCTGATTTTTTTCATCATTACTGTGTGGTTATTAATGTTATTATTCATAGTGGTAATATTGTTATTGGTTTTTGGTTATAGGTAGATAAATGAAGCAGTTGTAGTAGTAGTGATTATGGTGGTGATAATATTAGTAGTATTATTAGCATCAAAAGTAGTAGTAGTAATCAGCAGTTGTTGGAATGATAGTTTTGTAGTAAATTCTATTGT